TTTTTTTTTTTTTTTTTTTTTTTTCATTTTTAGGTACTTTGGTGCTTGCGAGAGGCATGGAGTTTCACCGAATAAATCAATTATGACGTCGTTATTCAAGGTTTTACATTATCGTTAACCGTTACTTTCCCTCTGGAGTGTTTTGGTTAACCTTGCATCGTCACAATATCTTTTCCTGTACAGGCTAAGATCAAGAAAGCCCACCATGAGACAGCTACACTTTCTGTTTCGATTGATGACCTGAAAGATGTTGATTTCTATCCACTTCGTGACCTCTTAACTGAAATTGATGGTTCTGAGATTGATGTGGTTGACATGGTAAATAGATTTTCTTGTGCACTGAATGGGGAATATGTTACGCAATTGCTACATGCTGTCGACAAAAAGCTTGGACACGTTGATATATGTGACGTCTCATTTGGAAAGGAGTTCTTGCTGTATGTGTTTTTTCCTTTTTATATCCATTCTCATTCGTTTAGATTGAAATTCTTATTTTTGGTATTGGAGGATTGTCTTTCTAGCATTTTAGTTTCTTGTGCTAGCATAAATCTTAGTGTGTGAAACTTTTCAAAAGGTTCTAGCCGGGGTGACTGACTCCAGAGGCCAAGCTTGTGGTCTTTTGTTTGATTTTTTTGGTAAGTGTGATGCTGGGAGCAGGCAGACAATCAGACATATAAATCACTGTTTCTTTTCCGGGGAGAAGAAATAAGAAATGACACTATATTCGTTCACAAGTTTCCAAACAATAACAGAGAGCAACCGTGGTGTGCTGTGTATTAATTTTCCCTAACATAATCGTTCTCAATATATTTCTGCAATAAAATCAAACATGTACATACACTATCCAGTATATTCATAGATTTTCCTTCTAATACATTTGAATACCAGGATATCCTCTCCCAATATATATTTACAATGGAATCTGAAAACAAAATGAGTATTTGTGCTCCTTTCTTTTCTTTCAACAATGATCTTTCTGAAAATTGTAGAGTCCGTGCCTTTCATTGCTTGTACCATGAATTTATTCAAGCAGGGAACTCTTTTCTGGAGCTTTTTTTGTTCCTCTTTAGCGATCTTCTCTCTTGAATGTTCAAGATTTATGCAAACTTAGCAAGACACATTTCCTTCAGGGATATTGCTCAACAAGGCTTAACATGCCAAGTTCTTAATCTAAGATCTTCTCATTTTCGGAAGCTCAATATGGTCGGGAAATTTGTGCACATGCACACTCTAAACTTGGACTTCAGCGCTTCACTTACTAGCTTTCGGGAGGATTGTTTTACGTGTATGCCGAATTTAAATTTCCTTTCGCTGTGCGCGACTAGGATCACAAACCTCTGGACAACTAGTGCTGCACTAGCCAAGCTTCCCTCGTTAGTTGATCTTCGATTTCAGAGTTGTTTCTTTACTCACGATATGGAGTATTCTTCTGCGTCATTTGGAGATGAGGGCCTTGGTTCAGGTCATACTGGCCTGGGCCCTCACGGGGAATTACCTTACTCAAGTGATGAAGTTTTTCCACATTTACAATTAATTCTGGACAATGAAGAAACAAATGATTATGATGAAGTTCAGGATGTCGGTAGCCAAAATGAAGGTTCTTCAGATGATAGTGAAGTCGATTTTTTGGGTCATCAAAGTGACTTCCGATCAGCAGAACTCTTATCTAACATGCCCCTTGCTTCGAATGAGCTGGATGATCTGCAGAATGAGGTATTTAACTTTTTCATGCATAATCAGTGTGGGGTTTTTTTTTTTGTTCTCGTGGTTGTCATTTTCCTGTCTTTCTATATTTATTTCTTGCTTTAGGAGGGTGGTAACAAAGTCAAACATGGTTGCTAGTTTGTATTAAGAATACTTGTATAATCTCTCTTTTTGTCTCTCTGATTTGGTGTCGTATGTTCCTGCTTTCTGTTTAATGCAGAGAAAATTTACTTCTGCATAACATTGTGGTATAGAATGGGGTATACATTAACTTTAACCATTACTACTCCAGTAAAAAAGTTCATTGTGTTTGACATTTAAATGAAGGAACGGCTAATTGTAGAACACAGTAATGAATATTAATTGTGTCACATCAGATCTCTTTTAGCACAATGGACATGCATGACGACGATTATTTTTCTGCTGGATCGGTCAAGTCGAGTGGTGTAAAGAAGTGCATTTCTCGTCATCCTTCTCCAATATGCTTTGAGAAACATTACAGAGAATACATGATAGCTTCATTGCCCAAACTCAGTGTTCTTGACAATTTGCGGATTTCGAAAACTGACAAAGAAAAAGCCAAAGATATCTTCACAAGTCATTTTGAATACCTTCCGTACAACAGGCATAATAAGGAGAGCTTGGTTAGTTTATTGCAGCAACGTGAGACCAGTGCAAACCTCTCTGCAACTCACGCCTCGAGAAATTCTTTTTCTTTTTCATTAAGAAAAACGAAGCACTTCTATTCCAGGTCATTATCGGCTGCCAAAATGGGATCTTCTGCATGGCCCGCCTTACGGTCTCTTTCTATTACTGGCAGTTCATTAAGAGAAGAAAGAAGAAACTTCCGTCCACGACAGTTTGAGTACCATCCAACAGACTCAAGCCTTATGGTCATCGGGACTTTGGATGGTGAAGTTGTTATTGTAAACCATGAGAACGGGAAAATTGTTAGTTACATTCCATCACTTGGGGCTCTGAATAGTGTCCTGGGGTTATGCTGGCTTAAAAAGTATCCTTCTAAGGTATCTCGTTACTTGTATACGTCAAACATTGTCTAATTTGTTGTGGGAGTGGATATTTCAATTTCCAAAACCGTCTTGCCCATTGTCACCCTTTTGCATGTCACTAACCTAGTTGCAGCAGATTTTAATTTGAATATTTTTGTGTTTTTCCATTCTGACCGTAAATAAGTTGTTGCATTTCAGCTCATTGCTGGTTCTGACAATGGCTCCCTTAGATTGTACGACATTCGACATTATACAAGTAGACAAATGCATCACAACCGTGGTTCAGTCTTCTTTGACGATTTTGACCAGTTAACATCTGTGCACGTTAACTCCACAGATGAACTGTTTGTTGTCAGTGGATACTCGAAAGATGTTGCTCTTTACGATATCGGCAGTGGGAAACTTTTGCAAGTATTTGCCAATATGCATTGGGAACATATAAATGTGGTCAAGTTTTCCAACCACAACCCGTTCCTTTTTGCCACATCATCCTTTGATCAGGATGTGAAGATGTGGGATGTAAGGCAAAAACCAAACCAGCCTTGTTATACTGCTTCAAGCTCCCGAGGAAATGTAATGGTCTGCTTTTCCCCTGATGATCACTATCTTCTTGTCTCAGCTGTTGACAATGAGGTAATGTTCAATTTCTGAGTTAGAACTAATAGTCTTGTTACCTAATCTAGTAAAGGAAACAGTGTTGCGTTATTCTTTTTGTTGTGACGTGACTTCTCATATAGTAATGAGACGAGTTTGGCTGTGATCTTGATGACAACTAAAAAATTACATGGATTCACAGTAATGCTGTCTGGTAAAATGGTTGGATGAATATATAAAGCATGTTTATATGACAATGAAATTATATGTTATGGACGAACTTTTCCATTTATGAACTTTTCTGAGTTGATGATTTTATATGTTTTAATAATTGCATGGAAAATGAGGAGAAAGAAAAAAGAAAAAAGAAAAATATATGAAGTTGAAGTGAATCAGTGATGCAAGTAGGTATATACCATGTATGTGCGATGTTTTCTCGAAACGCGTAACTTTCTAGGTCAATGAATTGCAAAATATATTTTTGCTAGGTAAAACAGCTATTGGCTGTTGATGGAAGACTTCATATGGATTTCGGTATAGCTTCCACTGGAAGTTCACAAAATTATACTCGTTCTTATTACATGAATGGAAGAGATTATGTGGTAAGTGGGAGTTGTGATGAACACGTGGTTCGTATTTGTTGTGCTAATACTGGAAGACGGCTCAGGGATGTATCATTGGAGGTTTGTAGTTTATATTCTTCTTTCTCCTTTCTCTTTCTCCCGAGCAGTTCATATGGTTCGGCTTGGGCATGATCTTACCTGTCATTGTTCCACTCAAGGCTTTGCTAATGTGGCTTATCACATGAACCATTATTTTATTTTATTTTGCTTGATTCCATATTTTGGAGGTTTCCTGCTTTCAGTTTCTCCTTTTCTCCCATGTGTCTGTCCTATTTTGGTGTAATTCTCAAGATCTTGATATATTACGTGGGAACCAAATGAATTGCTTTCAACATAACCGGTAGGCCTCCAATCTCTAGAAACAAGAATGCAGCTAGACGTAGAATGAAATTTGGTTTAGTTCTTTATTTAACCCCATTATGACCTACGTACGTGGTCTAGCATGTGAAATCAGTCAAATTTGGAAAATGTGTAATAATAATATAGAGAAATGCAGATACTGATACTTAAAAGAAATCGATTTGAACTTTGAATTAATCATTGAGTACCTAACGCCGATAGCTTGTGCAAAATATGAGGTGGCATACTTTTTTTCTTTCTTCCTATCATGTTGTTAATGCAATATCATGAAATTAGTTGGTTTTGTTCTTCAGGGTAGAGGTGCAGGAGCATCAATGTTTGTTCAGTCTTTGAGGGGTGATCCTTTCAGGGTAATTTCCTATGTTGCCCATTGTTCTACCTACATAATGCAGATTTTATCTTCTAAATCTTGGTTGAATTATGATGGATTATACAACTTTGTAGTCTTTAGGAGATGACACGTGTTCGAAATCGAATCGTAACATTTTTTGGCCCTTGATGGTTTCGACTCGTTACCAACATAAATTGTGTCTTTAATGAATATGCCTTGGGTTGTTGAAAAGGTTTCAAACTTGAAATTTTATATCCAAGGGAGCATGACATTACCCAAGTTAATTTTCTGAGTTTTCTTTTGTTAAGGTACCAAGCAGGTTTTACTTATTTTAACGATACATGTGTCTTTATGTTATCGCAATGTATCGAAAATGAGATGTGACTGTGTCCTTTAAGCTGATTACAAATCTCTTCTATCAAAACTGCTCATTTATTTATTTATTTTTATTGGTGACAGGATTTTAACATGAGTATTTTGGCCGCTTATGTACGTCCAAACTCAGATTCTGAAATCGTTAAGGTTTAGTTTGTTCTTCTGATCTTCCTCGTTCTATTTTCTGCTAAAAAATTTAGGCTAATTACCGACAACTACCCTTGAGGTTTAGCCTAACTGTGGAAAACCCACCCCATTTTATCTTTTTTACAAATTTTGCAGTCAGAAAAAATCCATATCTGTCAGGTTAATAAATACTACTCCCTCCTATTTTTTTTAAATATCATTCTAGCTTTATCAACTATTTGTCAAATAAATGTCGTTTTGGATCTTTTGTACATATTTTTCTATTATTACCCTCATTTAGCTAATAAATACATTACGTTTTTTCATATTCGCTCTTTACTTTTTTTCAAAACATTCATCTCTATCTTCATTAAATAAGGTTATTATTGACAAAAAAAAATATTCTTAATTAACGTGCAACTTCTCAAAACGACATATATTAAAAATAGGAGGTAGTATAATATTATATACAAAACTGCAAGGAGCTGACGGAAATAGGTCTGAATCCCAGGGGTGGCTTTTGTAATTTCTTTCTAAGTATTACATTTTCCCAATGTATACTGCTGATAATATACGACATGCACGTAAATATAGGTTAATCTTCTGGCAT